GAATTGTGTGAGGGTAAAAAGGAGAGACAAAAAAAAGTTTTATGGTCTTTAGACATGCACGGTAGAATTCGAACGTCATAAAATGATTTAATTAAAGTTATTATTATTATAATTTTCTTTTTCCTTCAAGGTGGAAATATAGTTCAAACTTTTTTTTTGTTATAAATAAATAAATAAATAAATATATATATATATATATTTGTTGTAAAATTTTTGACATTTCAGGAATATAATAAATAAATTATATATTTTTAAATTAATATTTAAACCTTATGTAATTCTGACATAATATTATAAGTGAGAATTTGAGATTTAAATCTTAAATATTAAAAAAAAAAGGAGAATAAATGAAAATAAAGGTATGGCTTTAAAATGACTTTTTGACATGTAAAACGACGTCGTGTCATAAAGGGGTATTAACCAGCATAATGTCACGTTTAAAGGGTTTTTTTTAATTATTATTTTTAGCTTTAATTTAATTGTTGCATTTAAAGGCAAAAAATATTTATTAAAAAAAAAACCAATGGAAAATTCACATGGCCAAGTATATATATATATATTAAGTTTCAAATATTTATTTTATCTGGTTACCTTTATTAAGAATACATGTTGGATTGAATTTTTTTTAGATCAACTTGACATTTCGGGTTAGTTGAGTTTATGATCAGAACAACTCGAATAAAGTTCACAACCTAACCCAACTTGATCTTCTATTTTCGAGTTAGCTTGTCAAGTTTTAAAAAATTATAGTTATCCACAGTACATGATATATCAATAACTCAAATATCTTGAAGTTCAAATATCAAACATTTACAAGTCACATAGATAACAAACATCAAATATTCTTAATTTTAATAATAATTTTAAAAATAGAATAAATTTAAGTTAAATCGTAACTCTATTTTCGGTTCCAATAAAAAATGTCCTTAATTTTTTTTATGAGGTAATATTTATATCTATTAAATTAATTAATTAAAAAATTTTAATTTTTTTTTAGACGTATTAAACCCAAATTAGAACCTAAAAATTTAAACCCTACAAAAAATGTGTATATGACAAAAAGCGAAGAGAAAATGAAGAGAGAGAGAGAGAGGGAGAGATTCCTTTGTCCCTCTGCTCTGCTTACAACTGTTCTTTCCACAAATTTTCAATCCTTTTCTGATTTCTCCATCTTCGTCTCTTCCTGTTTAATCACTCTCCGAGTTTTCTTCTTCCTTCTTCCTCCTTCCTTCTCACTGGTAAGCTTCGATTTCTCCAACGCTTTGATTTCTTTTGCTTTTGTAGTTTTCTCAATCACTTTCTATTTTGGTTCTTCACTTCCATTTTTACGCGCTCTACTCCTTTAATTCATCACTTCCATCTTTGTTGTTCTAGCTTCCTCTTGCTTTTTCTCGCTCCGATTTCTCTGAAATCTGCTTCGATTTAGCGTTGTTTTGATCATTCGCTGTCGAGCTGAAGCTTCCTGTATCGATTTCGTGGTTTTTTTTTTTCCTTTCTAGGGTTTCGGCAATTTGTTGTGTATGTGTTTTCTTTTTCTTTTTGAGTTGAAGTTTTTGCTTTAAGTTCAGAACTCGGCGCGGAAAAGTTGAGTCTCGCTTACTTTTCTGGTTATAGTAAAGAATCGGATCTTTATGGTTTTTGCTTTCTTTCTAATCTTTAGACCTTTTGCTCTATTTTCCAGATGATTTGAACTTGTTGAATCTGATGAACATACTTTTTTTTTTTTGTTTGCAGCTACTTTGACTCGATCGTTTTTTCTGTACGAACTGAATTTGGTACTGGAAATGGAGAGAAGAGAAAAAAATCACCGAAACATTGTTGGTTTTTAGTTGTTTTTGAGTATGTAATTTATGTTGAATTGTGTTGTCCAGATGATCTGATGGAGCACAAGATGAGGAAGGTGGGTCAGCTGTTAGGGCTGGCTGGGGGCCAAAAGATGTAACGATGATGATCTCCCAAACGAATGGTTGCTTGGTCTTCTAATTCCAGGTGAAGTATCTATATACCACACTGAACTTTAATTGTTCATGCAGCTCAAATCCATTTCTTTAGAACTGAGTTTCAATGAGGCGTTTTTAGATCTTACCTTTTGTGTTCTCTTTCCAAATCCCTTTATTGGAGAAGCTTTTTTGTGACCTATATTTGTTAAGTTGGTCAATGTCTTGTCCTTTTGTAATCATTCTTTGTTTGGTCGAAAATTTTGGTGCTTTCTTCAAGGAATTAGAAGTCAATGAACCAGCTGGTGTAAATGTAGAGGGAGGGGTTATAAGGCATCAGTTAGTGCAATGTTTTGTATTGGGCATGGCTTTCTTGATCAATTTTCTTAGGATCTGAAATTATTCTGTGCTTAGATTAAGCAATGTGAAGTTAGAGTTTGGATCTTTACAATACTGAATGATTCTTTTAGAAAGAAGGAACGATTTCCGTTAAAAAAGAAAACATATGTGGACAACCATTAGAATCTTCAACTGGCCTACACTTCATTCTTGTTCTTTCTATATAGGTCTATCTTACCCCGCTCCCTTAATGAGCATCCAGTTACTTAGACCATTCTCGTTCTTTCTATCATCTTTTGGTTTATCCTATAGGTCTATCTTATCCCGTGCTGCATCCATTTACTTGGACGAGCCCAAACTTCAAACTCATAAATCAAGTGATCTCTAATACACATTCTATTGTTAGTAGCCCTTGTCCATGTGGGGGTCCTCAATAAAACTGACAGGGAGATCTTACCCCTTTAAGACCTTTGATCCGTTTAATCAAAAAATGGATCATGATAGGCACAATAATCTTAGTTCTTGTGCTTACTTGAGTCTGTTTCCCCACATGGTAATTATATTGAATAATAGAAGAAACAAATGAAGAATCAAGGATGAATCCACTAATGATAGATACATTTTTCTTACAAACAAATGTATTTCTTTTGATATGCAACAAATTGGGAATATTTTACACGGAAAGTGTTTTAGATGGCATTCTTTTCCTTGGTTTTGTGTTGTAGTTAGGTAACATATTGGTGGCTATTTTGCTTGCAGTGGAGCTTTTTTATTACTGTGGTGTTGGTTATCAGTTTTGGAGTCATAAATGGATGATAGCGGGCATCGGGAGAATGGAAGGCACAAAGCAGAGCAGTATAAGTCAGCTCAGGGTCAGGTAATCAAGATGAATAAATCTTTCAAGCTGTAACAATTTAGTTGAGACCAGTTGGATTGAATTTGTCTGATTTTATGTTGGCAGTGGATGATGCAGCATCAGCCATCAATGAAGCAGATAATGGCAATAATGGCTGAGAGAGATGCAGCCATTCAAGAGAGAAACTTGGCCCTCTCTGAGAAGAAGGCTGCAATAGCAGAACGAGACATGGCTTATCTACAGCGAGATGCTGCAATTGCAGAAAGGAACAATGCTCTATTAGAAAGAGACAATGCCATTGCAACTCTCCAGTATCGTGAAAACTCCCTCACAAACAACAATTTATCATGTCCACCAGGATGTCAAATCGCCAGGGGAGTGAAGCATATACACCATCCCCAGCAGCAGCAGCAGCAGCAGCACACACATAATCACGTGCCTCACATGAATGAAAGTAACTATAATTCGAGAGAATTGCATGCCAATGATGCCTGCCCCATACCGCCCCAAGTTGCTTCTGAATCGACAAAGGTGCGGCGAAACAAGCGAACCAAAGAGGATAATAAGACAGTTACAGCACCAAACAAGAAGGTTTCTAAAGCTCCAAGGAAGGTCAAAAGAGAAGCTGAAGACTTGAATAAGATAATGCTGGGCAAGTCACAAGAATGGAAGGATGGAATTGGTATAGTGAGTGGCGGGGATGATCTTAACAAGCATCTGGTCGTGTCGAAGTCGGATTGGAAAGGGCAGGATCTGGGATTGAACCAGGTTGCCTTCGATGAATCCACCATGCCAGCTCCAATATGCTCCTGCACAGGAGTTATAAGACAATGCTACAAATGGGGAAACGGTGGATGGCAATCTGCTTGTTGTACTACCACTGTGTCAATGTATCCGTTGCCAGCAGTTCCCAACAAACGCCACGCCAGAGTCGGTGGCCGGAAGATGAGTGGAAGCGCTTTTAACAAGCTGCTCAGCCGCCTTACAGCTGAAGGCCATGATCTCTCTGCGCCAGTTGATCTTAAGAATCACTGGGCAAAGCATGGAACAAATCGTTACATCACCATCAAATAGTCACTTGCAGATTCGTGGAGTATCCGAAAGAGTAGAAACATGAAAGGAAATGCCAAACCAAGAATTTCCTTCCATTTGCAGCAAATAATAAAGGGTAGCCTAACATCCAAAAATGGGTTTAGGTAGCTATCTCTATCGTATTCAGATTAATATGGTTCAGAACCTCTCCAAGATTCAGCAAATTTGTAGGAGATCCAAGTTTCTAAGAGCCATGGCAATGCAATTCCATCCTACTTTTGAAGAAATGTCTGTTGTTTAAGCCCTTCTCTGTAAAGGATTGTGTTTATTATGTTCAGGGTTGTTCTTGGAGCATTAGAATATGGCGGTCATCATTTGGTAGTCTGTCGTCTATATCATCTTTCAAATTGTATCTGTTGCCTATGCATATCCTTCAATGAAGCTCAATCCACTAAGGAATTCGCTTACTGTCATTCTCATTAACTTAACCCATTACAACTTTAGTTCATTCAAGGATCAAAACAGTACTTTAACATTTAATCAAATTAAAAGTAGAATGCAGAACATGATCTCTATGAACACAAAAGATAAGAACGATTTAAACCTAATGGAAATTACAATGTCCAATGTGTCAGATCATGAATCATCAGCATCGAAGCATCAGACAGGGATAACTGATATTTTCATGTTCTCATCACCCACGTTACAAAAACATAACGTCAAAACCTTCATTATTGCTTGAAAATCTTTCTTTCCGTTTGAAAAAAAAAAAGATTTGATGGAAATTGTAAACTCAGATTTGTAGACTAATTAGAAGTAAAAGCAGAAAGGTGTAAGCCTCAGACCGTCCTAGTTCAAAAAATTATCAACATCAATGCAAATATTACAGTTTTGCATCTCAGTCAACCAAAAAACCTTCATCACTGGCTACACCTAAGAGGAGAAAAACAATACTCCAAATGATCAATTAAAAAACGAAAACGATCATTCTAGAAATCAAACACTGTCAGAGTTAAAAATATCAGCACTGTGAATCAGCCAGGGATAACTGTATATTTGATATTTTCTCATCATCCAGAAGAAGAAATTCCATTACCAGAAACACGTTCATGGAAAACAGAAAGTTAAAATCGATAAGATCGAAAAGAAAATTAATAAAAACTAGACGAATTTGATTTAAAGAGGCATCAGATCTTCCTATACAAAGAGGTTAATCACAATGCTCCAAGTTCAAAGACCAGAGCATTCTACCATTCGAAAATTCGTCATCTGCACTCTTCCGAATTCGATTTCACAATCATTTGCAGAAATCGCAAGAAAAAAGCTGATCACTCACTCTGTTCAAAGCTAGAAGATTTCAAAAACGAAACGAAAGGAAGAAGAACAAACTGAGAAACAAAGCAGTCGAAAGAAATTTGAAGCACCATGAAAGCAAAAATAGAGACGGCGCTGAAATTAGGTCTAGGGCTTTTGAATTGAGAAGAAGGAAACCTGATTGCAGGCTTTATAACCATTCTAGCCGGAAATTTTGCAGAGAAAAAATTGGACGGCTGTAATTTGCTGATGGAAATCCCGCCGCACGCTGGTTCTAGGTTTTGAATGTTGAGCCGGTTGTGAGGGAAGTTGTGCCACGGACGAATAACGTTGTAACACGTATTCGATTAAGTCACGTGCATGACTGCCGAGTTTCGTTTTTTAACTTTGGGCCCGAGGGTTTGGGCTTATGGGCCGATTTAAAGTTCTCTAATTTGGGCCCAAGAGTGTAAATTCATTCAATTCATATTTTAATTCATAGAATTACAAGATAAACCATTTTTTAAAAAAGTAAATCAAGTAAAAGACCAATCTACCCTCAAAGATTAAGGGTATATACAAATAATAAAAATAATATATGACCTCAAAATTAGGGACATAAATTTAAAATTTAATTATTTTCGTTAAAACTATATTTATTAAAAACAAAACTTATATGTTTCCATTAGTAGTTAATGTAAAATATATATATATCAATTTTAAAAAAAGAAACAAAATTTATAGAAGTTATTAAATATCATCTCCAAAAAAATAAATTAAAATTAAAATTTGCAAATAAGATAAAGAATATAAATCTAAAAAAAATCAATAATTAACATTTTCTAAAAAACAATGATTATTACGTGTGCTCATATAAATTTAAAAAGGTGTCGGCACGGGTTAAATACAAAATAAAATATTTTAAAAATTAAATTAAAACTACAAATTTAATCTCTAAATAATAAAAATCATAAATTTACTCGACACAAAATTAAATTTTATTTAAGATAAATGAGTTATATTTTAAAATTTTTAATTTATTAAATACTAGAAAATAGGGAGGGACGAAATAAAAGGTCCCTAAGTTTATCCTGGAAAATAATGTCCTTTTGAAAACTACTTTTCTTTTATTTATTTATTTATTTATTTATCATCATTAAAAAAAATAAAGGCTTTTATTTTAAATTTTATTTTATTTTTATTTTTTTCATTTTTACATGTGAGGTTTGCTCCATAAGTCTCTCCGTGAAAGGTGACTCGACATTAGAGTGTCTTATGCTTCTTGCACCTAACGTGCTCTTCTTCATTGATTCCCAATATTTCTACTTTCTTCTCGAGAGGGATACATCCCTGGTAACTTTTTGTTATAAATGGATAAAATTTTACAGTTTAACAGATTATGTTCGTAAATTTAATCGATGTTTAAATTTTCGTTATTATTATTATATATAATCTATCTCGGGTGTTTTTTTGAATAATAGCTTTTAAATTAATATTTTTGTAAAGTGGGTTTTATTTATTTAGTGAAACAAATAATGATATTAAATATAGGACAAATTAATATATATATATATATATATTTTATAATTTATCTAAAAAAAAATATACAACTATCAATAATACTTTTAAATTAAAAAAAAAAATAAAAAAATATTATTTGGCCGGTTTTTTTTTTTTTCCTTTATATGATTTTTTTTTCTCGACACAATCAAGTTGATTATTATTTTTTCAATGTCCATAGTAAAGTCAACTCATATTCTATCATTATGTTTGGAATATTTATAAAAAGAAAAGAATAACCTTAATTTTTACAAAAAAAAAAAGAAAAATAATAAAACAAATAAATAATAATAATAATAAATAAATAAATAATAATAATTGAATCGTTTATATTTTCTTGATTTAAGAAATCGAACCTTCATTTTTATATAAGAAAAAAAAATTATTTACTACATTATGCTTTGATTATCTCGTAAAAATTAAAATAGGTAAAATTTTCATCAAAATTTTGATCTCAACATCCAAAAAAACGGTAGCTGCACCAACCAAAAATTTTTAAATATCCGACAAATTTCAAACTCTAAATATCGTAGGGTCGATAATTGGAATGTCTTACGATACAACCGAACCATTGGGTACGCTAATTGAAAGGGGTAGGTAGAGATTTGGTGTTTGTTTATGACATGAAGGGAAAATAAATAATAAACGATTGAGACTAAACAACTAAGATTAAATGGGAATAAGGGTTTGTTGGTTGGTACTACTACACAATTAAATATGTTTTTTTGTAACATGGTTGGATTTGAATTTAATATTAACGTTATCGCTGGTACACCGTCAGGTGATTGGCTCTAATATCATCTGTAACAGCCCAAACCCACCGCTAGCCGATATTGTATGTTTTGGCCCGTGAGAAGTTTCCGCACCATTGTAAAGAATGTTTTGTATGTGGGATCTTACAATCCACCCTCTTGAGTGCCCAACGTCCTCGCTGGCACACCGCTAGGTGCCTGGCTCTAATACCATCTGTAACCGCACAAGCCCACCGCTACCTGATATTGTATGGTTTGGCCTGTTGCGTACCAGCGTCAACCTCACGGTTTTAAAATGCGTCTACAAGAGAGAGGTTTCCATACCCTTATAAATGATGTTTCGTTTCTCTCTTTAACTGACGTGGGATCTCATAGGATGTTATTATCTTTCTTATATGATTTTTGTTACAGGTGTACATGGGTCGGGTTGATTTTTTTTTTTTATATGATTTTCTTAAGGGAGTGATCGTGAGTACGTAATTTATGACAATTATCTTTATTGGTATGAAACATTTCAAGGAAACCAAAATTAACGTCACGAACTATTATACCTAAAGTGGACAATACGATATTATTGTGGAGATTAGTAGAGGTTTCGTTGTCTCTATCATACATTGGTTTGATGACCAAGTCTAACCTTTATATTATATCAATCTTTTGTGTTAGAGCCCAAGCTCATCATTAACAGATATCGTCCGTTTTAGCCTGTTGTGTACCGCTATCAGCTTCATTGTTTTAAAACACGTCTACTAGGAAGAGGTTTCCACACCCTCATAGGGAATGCTTTGTTTCCATCTCTGACCGATCTGATACTATTTTTAACAGTCCAAACCCACACCATTTTCTGATACTTCATTTCCCTCTCCAACCTCAATTTGTTGATTTCGTTTCCTTGATTAAACCTTGTAAGGTTCATCCTATCGAACTTCACGGGACCTCATCATCATAATGTTATTACTTAGTTGACCTCGGCTTGAACTATTTGTAACACAAATTTGACTTTTACTGATCCCGTACGTCACATTTTTTTTCCTCTGAATTTTTCTTGTTAGCTTCCCTCTAAGGAACAACTTTTCTCGAGCTCCGCTATCTCTTTCCCTACTCGACGTAGTTAGTGGAAGATTGAAGAGATGTACCTTCAGTCATTTTCGGTTGGGTATACAAATCTATCGGCTTCTTCTGTCTCATTAAATTTTATTTGACATACTACTATCACTTGGATATGATAATTAAAAATTTTAATAAGTTAGAAATTAAAAAAAATATGTAAAACTAACTCTAAATATAGTTTTAATTAAATGAGAAATTAAACATTCAAACTTTAATTAAATTATTAAAAAAAAATTTAGAGATTGTAAATTAAATTTATAATTTAATGTTTTCTTTAAATAAAATTTTCTGGAAAAAAAAAAACATGCTGACAACTCTTTTACTTTCCCCAAGTTACCGTTGCTTGATTTATTTAATTAAGTTAAGGTTTTAATTAATCAGTGGGCCCCACTGTATTAATTGTCATTATTCCTTAATTACAACTTCTAATCCGACAAAAGCAAAGAAAAGCAACTATCAACCTGTCATTGACAAATATATTTAGCCAAAAAAAAACATTTAAATTAATGTCTCAAAATAAAAATAAAAATAAATTTAGAAAAAAAATCATTTTATTATAATAATAATAAATAAAAATAAATTTGATAAATTTTTATATCTGATTTAGTTTTGGAATTTTTTAAAAACAACAATAATAATAATAATAATAATAATAATAATAATAATAAAATCTAAAAATGCTTTGATAAAAATTACATTTTTTTAAAAAATAAAGTCTAATACTATTTATTATTTTCTTTCTAATAATTATTCAATTTCAAAAAAATAAAATTTACAGCACATAAAAATTGTAATAATTATTAAATTTTAAAATAAATGTTGCAATATTTTTTTAAAAAAAAATTACAATAAAATTTGATAAAATTAGAATTTCGTATAAAAATAGGTTGGTAAAAAACAAAAAAAAATTATTTTTTAAAATTTTAATTACAAAAATAGTTAATACTTTCACGACATTCAAATGAAAAATACGAAGGGGAAAAGAGGAGTTTATCGCGATTTATCGCGATTTATCGAATGTATATCGCGAGATGATTCTTTTTTGAATAAAAAAAATAATTTATTAACCTATTTTTTTTCAGAGCGGTTTGAAAAAATAACAGCATCTATTTTAGTCGAGAGAATACGAAGCACAGAGATCTGACAGTTTCTTCTCGTCTCCTGATCGTTGAGGGCGACGGAGCCCTTCCCATGGCGGAATCGAACTGAAGAACTGAGCTAGATTTAAGGGACACTTTAAGATCCGTGTCTCTTGTTTACAGCACCTCTGCTTTTCTCCTTTCCTCTCTCGCTCGCGCGCTACAATTCCCAAGACCCGCACCATCGCAGGACGGTTTGTCTCCTGCGCAGAGAGAGAGAGTGAGAGAGAAAGAGAGAGATTTAGATTAGTTCAGCTTCAACATGGGAAGGCCTTGCTCATGCTTCCAATTAGTCACATGTGGTAGCGATTCAAAGGATGCAGATGAGATCGATGTACATCAGGTTGGTATTTTGGTTTGTTTTCCTCTTTTTCTATTTGATGCATGAGTATCGTTTTGATTCAGGTTGATTTTCGTCTTGTTCTGTGTACTATTGTTCTGGATTTTGTGGTTGTCATGAATGTTGATGGAATAGATTCGGTTTTGCATTTCTATGTGATGCAATCAATGCAATCAATGCAATCGTTTAGCTAGAGGATTAAATTGTTTTGAATGGATCGATTCTTGGTAGGGACATGAGAATCAGTTTCAGTTATGCATTGTTAGTTTTTTTTTTTTTTTTGCGAAATTAGTTTGTGATCTGGTTGAGATTGCCTTGTGAAATGAGAATCTGACTTTGTGGATTTTACTTTTTAGAGAATTTTGGTGAATTTATTGGTATTTTTGCGCTTGCATCTCGAGATCAATTTACTGTGTCCATGCACTTTCTTTTGTACGTGTATCTTCTGTCTATTGAAGTAATTGGTTGTATTTAAATCTTCTTCCAGAATAAGGATTCTAAAGTTAAACGAGGCTGGAGTTTCAGTAAGAGATCTTCCCAGCATCGCGTGCTAAACAACACTGTGATCGCAGAAACTCCTATAGAGAAGGAGAATCTTGAAACTGCGACCATCGACTTTCAATCATCAGCTAATTCCACTGTTCCAGAGAAACCCGCTATTATACACTTCACAAATGAGGAGGCCTGTGTGCCTAACATCGAGACTCCTAAAGGATCTGATAAGGTAGATGTTGCATCCGAAAATGAAAGTAAGGTTGATAGCAAGGTTGAGAATCCTAAAGGATCAGATAAGGTGGATGTTGAATCGGAATACGAGAGTAAGGTTGACAGTGAGGTTAAGGAGTCCATTGTTATTGTCATCCAGGCTGGTATCAGGGGGATCTTGGTACTCTTCATTTCAGAAATTCTTTAGCTTGAGATTGTTGTCAGTTGTTTCATAAGATTCTTATATCTCCATCCATGAATTCATACTGGCAGGCACACAGAGAGCTGATTAAACTTAAGAATGTAGTAAAGGTGCAGGCAGCTGTTCGTGGGTTCTTGGTGAGGAGACATGCTGTGGGAACACTCCGCTGTGCTCAAGCCATTATCAAAATGCAAGCTATTGTTCGGGCTCGTCGTGGTCATCTCTCTCGTGTGAGATCAGCTCAAGATGAGCTGTACAAGGAGATTGAGAAGGAAAATCCCGATTCAAAGATTGCGGTAATACTATTGGTTTTCAGACCATGTCATATTGAGAATGTTGACGCACCTTATCTCCATTAGTTAAATGCTAGGCTAGATTTAGATGTAATTTTGGTTGTTCATTGTTTTTATTTGGTGTTCTGTCTGTACCATTACATTTTTTTTCAAGATAGTATTTTGATTTACTTGTGGTAACAAAATATACATTTCTTTATGTTATTCGAAGTGATTTTTCTTGCCTTGTTTTAATAGTATCGTTTATATTGCAGGTGAAGGGAGAGATGACAAAATCCAATTCGAGATATATTTCAATTGGAAAGCTACTTACCAATAGTTTTGCTCGGCAGGTATTTTGATAATGTTAGTATGTTTTGATTTGTTGTTTGACATGTGGTGTGCTAATCATATCTAATTCACGAATCTTTCATCCATCAAATTTGTACTTGAAGTTGTTGGAGTCAACACCAAGGAACAAACCGATCAATATCAAATGCGTCCCTTCCAAAAATGATTCTGCTTGGAGATGGTTGGAGCGCTGGTTGGCTGTTTCATCATTGGAGGTCTTGGTGTCGGCGAAAGAAGTATCAGCCACTGAGGAGCCAAAGAAAGAAGAATCTGACACTGGGCAAATGGAAAGAGAAACTGAGGAGCCAAAGAAAGAAGAATCTGACACTGAGCAAATGCAAAGAGAAATTGATGAGTCTCATGTTGAAGATGGAATCGAATCAAAAGTTTTGAATGAAACAGAAGATTTGAACTCCAACTCCATTAAATCAGTTTCAAAAGAGACATCATTATCAGTAAGAGAGAATCTGGAGCAGCCTCAGCCTGAGAACGCTAGAACATCTGAATCAAAAGAGACATCAGCTAAGGTCAATGCTGTACAAGATCAGAAAACACAGTTGGATGATGCAAGTTTGCGAACAGAGTCGAGCTCCTTTTCCGATAAACTTCCGATGAACATGGAACAAGTCAATCCTCTGAAAAGATTAGCCCCTCAAAAACTGGAGAACGAGAGTAAGAAATTTATGCTTGGATCAAGAAAGGTGAGCAATCCCTCATTTATCAATGCCCAGGCAAAATTCGAACGGTTGAGTTCGGCACCGGTTTCAGTTGGAACTATTAGTTCAATGCATCAAAAGGATGGAATCAAACCTCATTCAGAAGCAGTATCATCTAGAACAGATACTGTACAGAGGACGAAGGAGCCAAGTTCAGATGAAAATTCTGTCCTTCCTGGATCTAGAATAATTCAAGTTGGTGGCTCTGAATGTAGCACCGAGCTCTCTATTTCGTCAACCCTCGATTCACCTGATAGATCTGAAGCAGGACTCGCAGATCCACATGCAAATGTTGTTTCAAAGAAAGGCGTTCAAGATCCTAGCAATGATCTAATCCCGGAAGTTATAGTCAAAGGTTCTACTGCTCTTGTGGATCAACCAAAAGAAGCTAATGAATCTAACGGTCCATCTGTCGCTTCAGTAGCTGTCGTAGACTCTGTACTAAGCAAGTCAAAGCCAGAGAGAAGTTCAGATGAACAGAGAGAACAGGAGGCTGATACGGGTCATGCTCAGCAAACATATATCGCATCTCCAGTAGCTTCACCAAGAAGCCATTTAACTGTTCCAGACTCCCATGGAACACCGTCTAGTCAGGTGTCAATGAAGTCTAAACGGGGTAAAACTGATAAAACAGTCTCCTTCCAAAAACAAAAATCTTCATCAGCAGGAAAGCAATCACCATCCAGTCTCAATCGAAATTCTGCCACGAGTAGTACCGAAAATTCTTGCAAAGATCAGAAAACTTGGAAGAGAAGAAATTCGTTTGATTCAGCACGACACGAAAATTTTGAAAAGGAATTGAAAGCCAGCAGTAGCAGTAACTCTCTTCCTCACTTCATGCAAGCCACTGAATCTGCTAGAGCCAAGCTCCATTCAACCAACTCTCCCAGATCAAGCCCGGATGTTCAAGATAGAGAAATCAAGAAAAGGCATTCCTTACCTGCTGAAGGCCGGCAAGGGTCTCCACGCGTTCAGCAGCCAACATCTCGAACCCCGCAGGGAGCGAAGGGAAATGGTACGCATTGCTTTCCATTGAACCTGTTTCACTGATTTTACTGCTTTCAGTATGCCCCCTCCCCCCACACAAAATAAATAAATAAATAACAGAGAGATTGAGTGAGAGAGAAAGGGAATTAAAGGAGAATAAAATAATAGGCCATACCAGACGCACTTTCAAAAGTAAAAACAAAAAAGGTTTAATATGCACTTGCAAGGCCTGCTCAAGTATTGATCTTCGAGTATACTTGTAAATTCATACAAGCTTATCTCAAGTGCTGATAATCACATACGTAAACCAACACGAACTGAAGTGATGATTGTTAATATGTGAATTCATGTTTGATTTTGTGAGTGTATTTACAAATATACGACATGAAAAGTTATTCTAGGATGTGCATGCATTTGATTTATCATGTTCATGATAGATTTACATTAGTAGGAGTCCCTAATTTTCAGTTGATCCATCATATTTCCATTACAACTACAAGCACTTATCATTACCTTTTCTTTTTGTCTGGGGAGGTGAGGGGTGAGGTGTGAGATCCTACATAGGTTGGAGATCAGGTGGATTGTGAGATTTCTCATCGGTTGGAGAGGAGAACGAAGCATTCTTGATAAGGGTCTGGAAACCAAAAACCTTGAGGGGAAGGTCGAGAGGATAAGTCCAAAGAGGACAATATCGGAGAGGAGTGTGGAGATTTACTAAAATTTGCAAACGACCGAATAGAATATCTGTTAAAATACATTACCATCTATCTAAACTTTATCCTTTCTTGAATCCTCATTTCAGAGAAAATGTGGCGAAGGTAAGCAGGTTGGATTATAATATATTGCAAGGAGACAAAGTTGACCTCAATGTGTGCAGCAGCAGCAGCTAATCTGTGATCTACATTTTCATGACGCATAGCTAATCATGGGTTTGCCCCCCATGAAAGAAAGATGTGTAAATTACTATTCCTCTCTAATTGTTTGTTGCCTATATCTCTCCATTTCTTCCCCCTTCCCTTTTCAAATTTTTTTCCATCATCTGTTTGTAATTTACAAGTTGTGGCCATTGTGCGCTTGATATCTAGTAGGGGTTTGTGACAAATGGTTTTGCTTGTGCATGTGTTTGAGGTTACTACAATGTGATGAAGAGATTTAAAGGATATCTTTTACCTTTTTTCCCCATGAATTTCACCCTAATTGGTTGAATATGATTCATTTATTTATTTTTACTTGAATTTTGTTGTTATTAATTTTGATTGCTTTTTATTTATTTATTTATTATTTTTTTTAAATGTTGAGTGTTATATATATATATATATATATAAATTGAAATTGTTTGAAAAATAAATTTGTTAACTTAACCTTTATTATTATATTTGTATTATCTATCTGTTTTTTTTTTTTTTTTTTTTTAATTTCAAGAATTATAAAATGAAAGTTGTAAAGAAATAGATTGTTTATTATGTAGACAGTGAGTCACTTATGTTTTAGGGCTTTGGATGTGATTGAATCGAAAAACATTAAACGCTAGATGATTATGTTTGTGTACAACAAAATAAAAAAATACTCTCTTTTTTTAATGCATAATTAGAAATACTTTTTTTTTATGCGTAATTAGAAATAAAAAAAACATTCTATAATTGGGAGATCAAATAGACTAATTTTTTATTTAAAATGTGTGAAATTTTTAAGAAGTATATGGTAAGTGAAAACAAAATAAAAAGTTTGAGAATTATTTAAATAATTTAAAAATTTTAGAACATGTAAAATAACAAAATTGAAGGCAATAAAGTATTTGATAAATTAAAAGTTGAGTATATAAAATTTAATTTTATGAATTTATTGAAACTAAATTTAAAATTTAATAACTAATTTTAGAGCTAAATCTATAAATTGAGTAGAAGTAAATACTATTTTCCTATTGATTTATTCTTATTAAAATATTGACTAAAAAATATTTAGATATTTTAGCATGTTTTACCCTTTAAAAAAATATCTTACCATTTCTCTAAATAAATACAAAAGTATCCTCAATAATAAATTTTATGAGTATTTTTAAAATAAATTATAATTTTTTTTATTATTGAACTTTTTAAAAATAAGTTAAAAGGAAATTAATGAAACTCTATGAAATTTAGAAGTATTTTTGAAACAAAATATTAATAATTTTCGTATAAAAGTAATGATAGCCGTAGTGTTTTAGATTTTTTTTTAAGGTATTATAATTTTTTTTTTTTTTTTTGAAAGTTTAGGAATATTTTTAAAATAAATTACCATTTTTTTTATTATTTTAGAAAAAGAAAAAGAAAAAGAAAAAGAAAAAGAAAAAAAATAATTATAATATTAAAAAGCAAAATAAAAGAATGAATTTACTAAATCCAATCCATCTCAACAAGAGTCAAGTATTTGCTATAAACCAAATTAAACAGAATTTTACTGAAAAAAATATGAAAACAAAGCCGAAGGGAAATGCAGAGGCTGTAGCCGGAAAAGCCTGAACCAGAGGATCTAGGGTTTTCTTCGATCTCTCTGTTTCTGTCTTGTTTAAGAGTTGCATGCAAATTTAGATCGCCCTTCTGCAAATTCCACTTTGATTAATTCGCGACACTTTTCGATTTTGAAATGAGGACTTTTACTTCTTTAAAAGTTTGAAAATCGACTCCGGATTCGAAGCAATAGCACTAGGGTTTTCGTTCTGATTAGAATCATATTCCGTCTCTTAACCCTGTAAATATGAGAAGATTGCACAAAGGGAAAAGGGTTTCATGGGCTTCAGATCTTAATCTCCGGCAGGTATAATCTAATTTCCTCTGATTAAATCCGGCGTATTTAGGCTTAATTTCATTATACGAATATCAATTTTGCGAAACAGTCATCTGCCGCCTCGATTTTGGGAATTTCGATTTTTTTTTTTTTTTTTGTTCGTATCACTGTAATTGTTGCAGTTTTGGGTTAAGCTTCATTTCTATCTAGAATCGTTTGTGTTTTGAACCTATGTTTCATTGTTCTGCTTTATTCACTGGTTATAACTGTACTTCCTACATATTTTGATTTCTCAGGGCTTCGATTCTCGTTTTGCAACAAATTTTTAGTACCCTGGGAATATACTAAACGGAAAGTTTTTTCTATCAAATTTGTTGGGTTTAAAATTAAATCAACCACATGATGACAATCAATGGATTGGAAATATAGGCCCAGTTGTTTCACGAATTTAATTTCACTAGAGCTGCCCTGAATCTCATTTTGAAGCAGGGTAGTTTTTAAGTTCGTGAGCGGTTTTGCCTTCATATGAACAAACTGTATTTGCAGTCATGCAATAGCTTGAGGAATAATTTCATTCTTCTGCCTTATGTATGCTATATAGCCGATTATTTTCTTTTTAACACTAAGGCTAAAGACATCTGAAGAATAAAATTAAGATATAAGTCTCTCCATTTTATCACTGTGATGATGTTGTTGAGAATAACCATTGGAATCTTTAGTTTAAAAAGTGAATTTATGGATATGAGATTCTTTTTAATTCTTTTGTACATTCATTATGTTTTATATTACACAGTTTTTTATTTGTATCCCTGATTTTGTATTTGTATGAAGGCTTACACTTCATAGTACCTAAGGGGGTACAATTCTATACTTGGAAGATAAATGCCTTGGTTTCCTTGAGGCTGCTCGATCTTTTATGTGTAAAATAGCACAATTACTATTTTTCTTTGGTTGGAAGGCTGTAAGTCTTGCATAATAGCATGTATGAACCGTAGGAATGTTGTGTAGGGAGTACGTTTCTGTTAGAATTTAGGAATACGATATATTATGTATCTATGTTTATATTTATGAGCGTTTGGACCAACTTGCACCTACCTCCGACTATAGGATGAAGGAATACCATTAGGGTAGAATTCAGAAATATTATTAGTATACTAAAGAAATATTTACAGTGGCTAATTAGCCAGTCGCACATCGGCTAAGTAGCTGTATGTTCTGTGTGAATGGTCAGTAAGCTCACCTAAAGCAATGTTGTTTGACAGCCGTTTCAGTGAAGCGAGATTGTATAGTTTCACTCCTAGGCTGTCAAAGTACATGTATCACAAACCATTTCGAAACAATACTAAGAGTACAATAGTCATTCTTTTAGAAAAAGAGTATATTAGTTATTAGCCAAAAAAACTGCTCATAGGAATTGGTTATAACTAGAGCATGTGGGATGAAGGCAGACAAGGGTTTGAGTTGTTTTGGGCTTGAGTTTATTCAGGAGCGAGGTTCCGAGTTCCTCTAAAACTGCTTAGGTCTCTTTTTGTATTTTCTTATGCATTATCATTATAATTCTCTAGTTCCTATTAATATCTCACTTCTTGTGTTTCTATAATTAAATGTTATGATACCATTAAATTCCTAAATTCTATGAGAATATGCCAGATTTAGCTTGTTAGGGGTCGTTCATATATATATTTTGTGTATGTCGTTTTTTACGTGTGTACATAGGAATGTTCTTTTTAAGAATGCTAGCATATTACATTCATTTAATGCTTTCTTTTGTTTTACTATGAAATATGTTAAGTTTGCTTTATAAAACAAACGTTACCCTAACATATTATAGGATTACAAATGTAATGTTATTCTTATAGATTAATTAAATTACATCAATACTTTTTGTATGTACAATAGGTTAAAATACTAGGTCCCCGAACTTTGGTTCTCATTCCATTTTAGTTTTTGTACTTCCGAATGTTCTAATTAGCCCTTGTTCTATTAATAAATCTTCTTAACATTAATCCCTACTATTAGTTTTCTGTTGACTTTTCCACAAAAAAAAAGAAAAGAAAAAAGACCAGTCTCGATTGGTCCTCCCAAACATATTCACATTATGTCTTTTCTTGCAAGAAAATTATTATTATTATTGATGTCAACTAACAATAAAGACTATTTTAAACATGTATTAAAAGTACAAGACTGATTTGAACATTCGAGGTACAAGGACCTAAAATGGTATTGAACATGAATAAGGCACCAATTATCATTCCAAAAGTTTACAGCTCAATCCAACTCCTGTGTAATTGTTGAACGCAAAATGGAACAGGGCTCAAGGTACAAAGACCAAAATGATATTTTAACCGGGTTAAGTAATAATATTATGCTAGCATTGTGACATTTTATCGAAATGTCTATATTAGTGAACTAAAAGTTTTATAACTATATCTTTTTTTATACTAACAAGTATTCAGCCAGTATGTTCATCCAATCACATGTTTGTTGAGGAGTAACCTGCACCTCTCATTAAGGGAACCTCACTCTAGGAATTTTTGAGATTCTTCATTACGCCTTATTCTTTTTTATGGGATGTGTTATTTATTCATGTATTAAATTTTTTGGTCGTTTGTTTGGGGTCTAATTTGGCTCTGTTCGTTTGAATGTCTTGATAACCCTAATAGGAAACAAAGAAAAACTGACCTAAGAGGATCATGTGTGCTGTACAATTCCCCTGTTAACTAATGCATCTTTCCTTTGCAGGTTAGATTGTTCTTGTCAGAAGAGTCTCCTTCCCAAGTGGGATTGGGTGCTCAAGATCACCTTCAAGCAAAGACGTCATGGCTCTTGCATTCTACCGGATCGGGTTCTGATGACATTTTGCCTCCCGGATTTGAAGTAGCTCATCCTGAGAATCAGTTGCAGATTAAGCTCTCACAAATTCCTGTAAATCAATGGAGATGTCCACCTAAGGTAAATAGTGATACCGTTTTCAATTTTATGTTGAACTAGAACTATTGCTCTGCAAGTTTAACATGATATTCATGCTTTTTGTCCCATGGCAGTTTCTTTTTTCTTTTCCTTTTAATGTTTATTCCCGTAGTTTGTGCTGAATTTGACGTGGCGAGTGGTTGTTGGTGAAGAAAGCCAAGAGATTGAGGTTGAAAATCAGAGAGAAATGAGAGTACTCGAAGCGGTTTATCCTCGGGCATCTGCGATACCTCCTAAGTTGATTACTTCCTTTGCACCGTGTAATTCTTTTTTCGCATTGGTTTGTTTGTTTTTCTTTGTACTGAAAAACCATTTGATTTGCTCCATACAGCCCTTCCATAGCAGCTGATTCAGAACGTACCGATGTCGATGACAGTCAGACACCTTTGATTCCCATTACTCCTGTTGAAGATGAAGATGCAACAACCGAAATCTCATCTGATTATGCAAGTCCTGGTGCTGTCCTTATGAGTGCACAACAGTCCCTTTCTGTTCATGCTGGTACGTATACACCTCAACATGTTTTTCCGAATATGTCTTCTACTTCTAGTGCGAGTTCCATGGCTGGAATGGATCTGGGCAATGAACCTGATGTAGCTGCTGCTGCATCAGCGGCACTCAGTGCACTTGTGAAGAGAAATGAGATGGGTAACACGATTGACAGTGAATTGCTTGTTAAGATTCTTAACAATCCAAAAATGATTGAGCAGCTGGTTGTGGATTCTGGTACTGTCACTAGCTCTCAAAAGCCAATATCATCTCCTGACCCGTCGCTTGTACATATGCATATGACCGAGACCAATGCCACGGTTGCGCCTGCATCGGGCGGTCCTTTTTTCGCTCAACCAAATGGGGCAAGTGTAGGACCTGTCCCCAATGCTCACCCTTCCTCAAGAGGTGTTCCAGTTTCTTCCCTGCCTTCCACTGGACCTCCAATGAAGGACTTGAACTACTATAAAAGTTTGATTCAGCAACACGGAGGAGAGAGACAAGACGATTTCCCTCGACAGCAATTCGGGAACCGTCACAGCCAACCATCAGGAACAAACCAGGAATTCTTACATAATAACCAGCCATCAAGAGATGGGAAGTTCAGGATAATGAAGCCTTGCATATACTTCAACAGCTCAAGAGGATGTCGACATGGAGCCAATTGTGCATATCAGCACGACCCCGCATTTCATCAGAGAAGTAGTAGCGCACCCGAAATGCCTAGCGCCAAAAGAACAAAAGTCGATCGAGAAATCAGCAGTTAAAAGTAGAGTACCGTAATGGATCGATATGTATTTCGTCTTGAGTTGGGAATGCTTTATGCCCAAGATTTCAGCTCTTTTGGTTGGCAATTTGTTCAAATGTTTTCCTTTTTAGTTTTTTTTTTTTATCTTTGCATGCACAAAATAACCATTTGATGATTTGAATGAGGCCAGAGCCTCTGCTGCCACCATTAATCATTCATTTCTAGCGTCAACCAGAATATTCTTTTGATGAATTTTTTGAGATCGGTAGGATTTTTGAATTAACTGTATTCATGTAAGGTTCTTAAATTACAACTAGGGGTCCAACAAGAAATCAAAAACCAACCATCCTGGTTTTAACCGACTAGTTCGATAATTGACTNTGAATTATCCGAAACTGACCACGACCCCCCCCCCCCCTCCCGACCCGAAAAAAAAAAAAGACCCTCTATTTCGTGTTAGCATGGGCCCCCCTTCAACCATTGCTTCACTATCACTAGTACGTTCACTAACTTCATTCAATCGACTTCATTCAATTGATCAGTTGCATCAAAAAAGATAGTACTATAATGGTCACGGGTCACCTGAATTGAGTCATTTTCTAATTCAACACGAGTTTTTAGACAGGGAAATTGGAAGAAATCACTACAAATAAAATCACATAATTTTAGAAAAATATTCATATGAATTTTGGTGTTTATTTATTTTTAATAATTAAAAAATTTGTTTTTTTTTTTTTTTTTGTCCCATTGAACCCTTGATTTGTGAATTGAGTTTTTTTTTTTATTTGATTTTAACATTTTTTAAAATTAATCTATTAATCCGATATTCAGATTTCTATTTTGTGATGGAATTTTAGATTTTTAATAAATTCTAATTAATATTCTTATTCAATAAAAAAAAATGCATTTAAATTTAGTCAATTCATAGAGTTGCTCTTTCTAGAAACACGTAAATTGGGCCAACGAGCCCATTAGAAGAATAGGTCCAACTCTGCTTGGGCCCACTTATAAAATGCTGTGCCCTAGATTGGGTGCAAAGAGGAGGCCGGACTTGTCCAAAACGACACGTCGCCGTAACATCCACTGGCTTCGTCGTGTCGTACCACCGGGTAAGGTACGGGCCTTCCATTTTATTTATTTTCTTCTAACCCTATTTAATAAATACTCCACTATTATGTCAATTTATTTTCTCCTCTTTTTTTTCCCTTCATAATAATTAAAATAAAATTCTAATTTTGTCAAAGTCAAACAATTTTGATATTCAAAATCGAAAAATTCTGGTACCGTTATTCAGTATAATAACGAGTTGTATAATACTAGATAACAAGATTGTTCATATAAAAAATATCTAGACATGTATGATAGTGTCGATTTGTCAGATAAATTTTTGAAAAACGTGTCAAATTTTAAGAAATTGTGACTATTTAGGACTCTTTTTAGGTTGTTGAAGACAATAGAGATATTACGAGTAGGGTTTCGAAGATAGCTGTCTCATCCTTTTTAGTGATACGGAGTATTACGAATTATAGGTGCACGCATACTCATTGGGTTATGTTGAGGGAATTTTTGAACTAACCCAAATTTTCGGGTTTGTTGAATTTGATAACTCAAATAACCTAAAATTATTTCACAAACCAACCTAACTTCTATTTTCGAGCTGAGTTGTTATCACGTTCTTCAAATTAGTGGTGCAATGGGCTAATTTTAAAGTACTATTGTGTATATTAAGCAGGACAATGGCTGACCGTTAACACAAATCGAACCTCTGTCCACTTAACGTGAATCCCAAATCGAATTAGTTCAGTTCCAGAAAAATAACCGAACCCAAATCCTTACGGTCAGGGTTAAATTGTTCTAATAATTTGGATTATTCGACTCGATATACACCCCAACACAAATTTCTGATCTCTTAATCGATAGTAAATTGGACATATCACAGAAAACATGACGAGACCATCACGTGTTAAATTCATATTTCAAATCTTGATTCAAATTTTGAACATGAGAAGTAATAACAGAGTTCGCTCGTGTCCACCGAACCTCAAACGAGCCAACCTTTATCTAATCGGTGATCTTGGTCGCCTTCATTCATCCATGTTTCCCCTCACATGTGACAAATTCCCTATCAAATACTCCTAATACCTAAAATACTATTAAAAAATGACTCATCCACTCACAACAATGATCATACTTTTAAAATACACCCATTTTTCTTTAATTACTTTCAAGAACACAATATTTTTTTATAATATATTATTAAAATTTAAAAATTAATAAAATTTAAAAAATCCTTAATTTTGTCTCTTTGCACTTTCTGCGCCTCGAGAAACGAAAAACAATCATTATACCTTCTTAAAATAAAATGAAAATTAATTTATAAATTTTTTATATTTGCATTTATTTAATATATATTTATTTATTTACTTATCAAACAAAATGAAATTTTCCATTGCCAATAATTACAGATAACGAAAGAAGAAGTTTAGGGTTTTGAGGAAAGCACATGCCCTCATGAACTGTAAAGTGAAACTAACCAATATTTTTATCAAACCCGACACCCACTGATACGATCGATCTACACGTTTACTCGTCTAAAATCGTTCAGTATTCGTCTTCCATCAACTAACAATCGAACCCACTTCTTCGATTCAAGTTAAATATAAACTCGACCCGTGTATACATTGTTAGGGTTTCGCTAATATTTAACATGAATCGTAGAAGTCGGTTTAATTGTCAGTTGATGAAAGGTGAATAATAGACGATTTTAGATAAGTGAACGTGTATATTGAACGTATCAGTGGGTGTCGTGTTTAATGGATAAAAATTCGTGGATTGGGTTGTCGGGTTTAATGAATAAAATCTCGTAAAATTCAAGTCACATCATTAACATTAATAAGTTAGAGTAGTGTTGGGTTAGTTTGTAATCCTATTTTTAGGTTGGTCGAGCTGACTCGACAAACAATGTCAAAAATTTTATGTTTTTAAAAAATCTAACTCAACCTAGTAGTTCGTTCAGGTCGGGATCATATTGACTCAAACTCTTCTCTACTCGTTAGATTCTGTCGTGCTTCTACGAATAGTCGCTCATAAAAAAATTGTTTCAAAAGATCGCAACTCCGTTCATTCCATTTTACGAGCGTAATCTTAAACAAGATTTAAAATCATTAATGGAAAGATTTTCATTCGTACTTAGTCTTGTTTTTTTAAAGATTCTTATACTAAAACTTGGTTATGTGCATGGGAGGTGGAGTTTAGAGAAAGCAAGGGACGCGGGTAAGGCTAGTCTGGCAAAGTCGACAATTCTCAGTTGAATCCGACTTGTCGTTCAGCAAAGGCGACGCGCAATTTTTCAAAATTTAAATAATAAATAATAATAATCTTAAGTCCACCGCCCATCTTTGAGGGGTGGGGTATATATGACTTTCCGCCCTCTCCTGTCGCTTCAATAATAAATCTCCTTCACATTACATGCCTTTTCAACTGCCCTTCTTTACGCCACTGTGACCAAATTGTCCTCCTTCCTTTTCAATTATTAATTATATGCCCTTTTCAATTTTACATAAACTCAATTTCTTTTTCTTTTTTTAATCATTCAAACAATTTTTTAAAATTACAAAATAATAATTTTTCAAAAATTCAAAAATATTCTTATCAAGAATTCCAAAAAAATAATAATAATAATAATAATAATAACATTTAAAAAAATTTAAAATAATCAGACTGTTTTCATTCATATTATAATGATAATAATTTTTTAAAATTTTTATAACTATTTTTATATATAATATTAAAAATATTTTTGAAATTTTTTAACATGGTACGAAGGTAACAGTAAATATTTTTTTAAACATAATATTAATTAAAGCAGTAAATATTTTTTTTATAAACAGAATATTAACTAAAAGTATTTTTATAATTTTTTAAATACAGTATTATCGGTAATTAAGGGTAAAACTATATTATAAATTTAATTTTTTGAAGAGAGGAGATTTAAAAAATAATTACTTTATGCAAAAAAACAAAAAAAAAATTGTTTTATTTTTTAAATTGAAATTAATGAACTTAGTTATTATATTCAATACGTAATACAATTTAGTCAAATAAGATTTTAATAACAAAAAAAAAATCTAAAAGAATTAATCAAATAAGAATGTGACACGTCATCAAACAAGACCACCGCGAAGGAAACCTAATTTGGTTAGGTTTGAATTTAAGCACGTGGTCAAACCCTGAACTGATAAGGTATTCATACTAGTTTAAGTTTGAATTATAATTTGACTAAATTGAAAAATATTATATTTGGAACATTATTAATTCAATTATAGTCCTTTTTCAAATTAATAAAAAAATGATTGAAATTTGATCATCATGGCATTTATTTTGTTCACATACCAATTGTATTTAGATTTAATTATTATTTTTTCTTTATAATTTAAAATTGTCAATATTAATCTTTAATATTTAAAAAACTAAATTAATAAAATTACTGTCTTTCAAAAGTTTCAATAATACTCTTGAACTTTAATCTCGATTATCTGGTAAACATCTACTAGATAATATGAGTTATTCTTTACTAACTCGTATAGCTCTAACACACTGTATTTTTGGATTTCGAGCTTATAACTCCATTAGTAAAAAAGAACACATACCCAGTAGTGGATTTGCTTTTACCAAGACCATCTACATAATTTGAGTCAACTAATACTCCGACGATAAAATTTGATCACTCGTAACATAATACGATGAAGGGCAAAAATGTCATTTCGCGAACATGAAAATCTTTAGAAACTCGTGTATGAGGAGGACATCAAAATTTTCTTGAATGTCTTTCAATATGGGTATTCATCGATGTACGGAAATCTCAAAATATCTTATTATTTTGTGTTACTACAAGATAAACCGGATTGAATAACGTATAAGTTTGAGTTTAATAAAACATTATTATTTAATAAATTCTTTGACGAAACTTTGATGTTAATATTAATTAGAAAATTGGCAATGTTTTTTTTAATTAAAAATTCAGACACAAAATTTAAAATAACCACAATTTTAAATTTTAAAATAATATATTTGTATTATAATGAAATATATTAAGTCAAAATATCCGCGACATTTTATTCAGTGGATGGCAAGAGTGAGCAGCGGTGGGATCTCGCTGCCTGCACGTGCTTCTTCGAAGCTTCCATTTTCACTCTCTTATATTTTTATTATTTTTATTATTTCATGGCAGCTAGAAATATATATATATATAT